GCACTGTATCTGCTTCATTTCATTAAACTGATTATAGTGTCCGGAGTTCCCAAGTTCCATAATTTCATTCAGCATTAAACAGTTTTTCATATTTTTATATTTCAATGCTAAATTAGAGTCCTTAGCAGCCCCTCCCCTCTGTGCTGCCTGGCGAATGAGGAAGTATTAGCCTGAGCAGCAATGGGCAGCTATGATTGGCTGAGAGTGTCAGCTGTCTGTTTTTAGCCTATCAGAGCTCCAACTGACGGCATGAAGGGTATGACTACAAGGAAGTGTGTAATCTCTGCCTTGGCCACACCTGCGGAAGAGGCCAGACTGTAGGTGGCTTGGATCCCTTAGTTAGTGTTAAACTGCTCTAAAATGAATTAACATTGTGTGGAGAGACAGTGCCAGGGGACTCCAGGCATCATAACAAATTCAAAGAGATGAAATTATTATAGTGAGTACAGTGTCCCTTTAAGGTGTTGTGGCTACTATGCCATGAGAGGTGCTTTAGTATATATACTAAATCAATATTATTATTATTTGTATTATAATTATAATCTATATAGTTCCAACATAGTATAGTTCCAACATATTTGACAGTTTTTTACAAGAGTAAGAGGAAGAACAGCATGTCATGAGAGGACAGGAAGTAACGGTGGATTAGATGGCTGTTTCAAAATATTCTAGTAAAAATGGTGTATAGAAGAGAGTGGAGTTAGAGAGAGCTCAGAGGAGCTCAGAGGACTATAGTAGCAAGGAAAGTGAGGAGGGCAGTTGTAAATGAGGTAAGAGAAGGGATGTATTTGTTAAATAAAGAAGAAATGTAATGATGACTGGAATTATTCAGTGGGTTTGTAGGTTATTGTTGTCAAATTGAATTAGATCCTGAAGTATATGTAAAAGGACATTAGCATTGAGAAAGGGCTGCTGCTCGAAACGTTTGCTGCATTAACTTTGTCCTCAAATAAATTGTGGTACCACCTGGGTGTGCACACCAATACTGGATGCCCAGGACTCGTGCTTGTTTTTTGGTTGAGTTTAAAATAATGCTGAGGTTGCAAGTTTGACAGGAGTAATAAGTGTCCCATTGCTGTGCATAAAAATAGATGGAAGTGGGAAAGATGAGGAGTTCCATTTTAGAAAGCTTTGGTTTTAGAAAATGGGAAGAAATCCAGCTAGTGATAGAAGAGAGGCAGCTTGTGATGCATTGTAGGAGGGCAGGCAAGAGGTCAGAGGTAAATCTGAGTATAATCAGGATGTAGATGGTAGTGAAATAAAAAATTGTTTTAACAAGGTTACCGAGAGAAGCAGTATAAATGGAGAGTACAAATTGGCAAAGAACAAAGTCTTTAGGAACACCAACCAAAACAGGCAGTGGGGAGGAGGTAGCACCAGAGAGAGATATACTAAATAAGCATTCAGAAAGAGAAGGATAAGATGGAAACCAAGATAGTAAACTGTTATTGAGGCAAAGGTTGTGAAGGTTTTTTTTTTTAGAATAATAATAGAGAGGCAGTATCAAAAACAGCAGAAAGATTGAGGAGAATTAAGAGAGAGTAATTGTCAGGGGTGGTGGTCCGGTGACCGGGACCCAGTATGCCTGAGCTTGATATTAGGAGTCACTGTGTGGAAATGGATTATCAGGGCCTGGTGCAGGGTAACTACACGCCCCCTGGTGTTGAGCACCAGCGTTTGTGCAGCCACATACCAGGACCCTAATGCAGCTTCTGCGGATCCCAGGTGCCAGATGACAATAAGCAGACCTCCCAGGATCTGAATAGGGAGGCTCTGCAGCAGATATTTATCCAGTACAGAAACAAGGTAAGACTAGAACAGACACGAAACAAGAAAACAAGACAAAACTAGGAGAACCCAGAACCGGAGCAGGACAGAAAGCAGAACCCAGAACATGTACACAAGACATGAGGAATACAAGAACAGGGCAGGAAAGGACTAGGGATACAAGGCAAAACAAGAGGAGACATAACTATGTACTATATATGTAAAACATTGGAGATTTAGACATACATAAATGGCCAAGATGTATGCAGCCCACCACTGCGTCAAAGTCCTCCAATTACGGTGGGTCCTAGACTGCCTAGATATGCATGACTAAATAAACAATCATAAAACACACACAGCACTTACCTGCAAAGAAAAGGCAGAGGACTTGAAACAACTGCCTGCAGGAACCAACTGAAACAAAAAGGATTAATGGGAAATGAACGGGTGTGGCAACAAAAAACAAACATTTAAAGGAATCCAAGAGACTGGGAATTGCAGGAACGGAATACATGAATGAACCCAGAAAACCCAGCATAAAGAAAACCAGACATGGAATAAAGAACCAGAAAAACCAAGAAAAACTAAACAAGAATTGAAAAGAGTACTGGATACCAGAGCCATTGCCAGAAATGATCCGCAGCCAGGAACAGGATGTGACAGTAATGAACCTTGGATATAACAGGGATTAAGTCATTAGTCATTTTGGTAAGGAAAGTTTCAGTAAAATGGAGGGGTGGAAGCCAGGTTGGAGATGGTCAAGGAGAGACTTAGTACTGAAAAAGTGAGTAAGAAGGATAACCATGTGACTCTCAAGAAGCTTAGAAGCAAAGGGAAGTAGTGATATCAGATGGGATTGATGATGACATGTGTGAGGCAAGAACAGAAGATGCCAGAAGAGAGGTTAAAAAAATATGCGTTAGGAATGGGACCAGACAAGATGAAAGAGATTTGGTAATGTAAGAGAGGATGGGGTCAAGAGGATAGGTGGTAGGGCAAGAGTGAAAGAGGAAATAGCATAAAAGCTGGATATTGGAGGGGAGAATGAATGAGGGGAGATTGCTTTACTAATCTGGTTAGTCTTCCATAAAATTACATGAAAAATAAGTAGCTGTGAGATTATTTAATGGAGAGGTTGCAGTGGCAAGGAGAAAAGATATGTAAAATGCATTTGGAATCATGAGAATAGGTGCTGATGAGAATGGTAATATAATCTTGCTTAGCAAAGGAAGAAGGCAGAAATGTATGAACATAGCAAAAATGTGTAATATAATGTAAGATAATTATGTGGCACTGATCAGTGCTTGCAAGAGGAAGGGAGGAAAGAAGGAAGGAAATTATCAGGGTCAATTAGACCTCCACATTACCATAAGGGAGCCTTAAATCCTCTCTATGCCTGCACAGTAAGTAGGGGCATGCCTATTAAGTGTATAAAAGAAGAATCCAGGTAGCCATTTCTGTTAAAGCTAAACATTGAAATTCTCCCATGGCAAATCTCATGAGAAATGAGACTTGTCTGTCAGAGTGAATGATATTGCCTAGCATACAAATAAGATATTGCAGGACACTATATTACTTTGAAACCTTCATTGCATGTGCCGAAGGTGGGGTCCTTGTTCCATAGACCAAAGTATAACTTCAAGTAGAGCGCCTCAGCACACAGCATAGTGATAAAGGGTGTTTTATTCAGCCATCAAACACTGTGTTTTTACACTGTGTGCTTAGGCTCTCTTGATATTGCATTGTATGGGAACATTTCCAGGTTTTTGGGGCTCAGGAATTTTTTTTTTATTTGACCTTTTTGGGGGCTGAAGATAAGATTTACAAGAAGGATGTTTTCAGATGGCAAGTAGTATATTTACTTTTTTTCACAGGGATTAGTTTTAATGAGTACCCTCCTCGCTATTATTAGGGAGAGGGGGTTGGTAAGGTTAATATATTTTAAGAGATTCATTTATTTTAAGATGTGGATGCTAGATTGGATTGCGTACCGTGAGCCTACCAGTGGGTGACAATGGAAATTTTGCAGACAATGTTGACAATTCTATGTGAATTTCCCCAAATCAGGCTGGGGGACACTAGGTCCCTCCTTCTTTTATTATTTAGGGACACCACCCACCACTAATGGGTGGGTAGCTCGATTAGGGGCCACTAGGTTCCACCCACCAGTTATATTATAATAGCCCTTCATACTATGTCCCTTTCGCGTATAAATGTAATAGCCCCACCCACTGAACATAGGTGGAAACACAGGGGGACATTAGGATGTCTATGGGTGGAGTGAAGGGGTGAACAGTGATATGTCCCCCCCTGGATTATTTATTTTAAAACTCTCCACATGATGGCCATGTCCCCAACCCTTTTATTTTACAAGCCCTATCCCATGGCATGGGGAATTTCTAGTGATTGGACAGAAATGCCTGACCATTCACTAGTTTGAAATAGTTAGGATAACTGCCTCCACCGGCCACGTGGCTGGTGGGGGCATAGGGAGGTTTTGAACTTCCCTTATAGTAATGTTGGGGTCTTATGGATCCATGCAGTGTTTTTTTTTTTTTTTACTTGTTCCATGTGGTGGCTGCCTAGACAGCCTTCACATAATTAACCCTTGCACCGCCAAGTGTTATTTAAGTATTTGCCCTCTGGGTGCTAGCACCAGCTGGCAAATAGTTGTTTTTTTTAAAATCCGGTCCTGGATTTGAAGTATTAGGTTCTAGATTTCAGCTATTTAAATTCAGGCCTATTCAGTGACTGTATTACAAAATCCAGATATTGTTAAATAGTGTGAACAATGTCTAGATTTTGCAGTCCACCAGAAAGTCCATTCGGACCTCCACTGCAGTCAGGCAGATATGGATGCTTCAACATTAAAACTTGTTGATTTTGTGCTAGTATGCAAGGAATATTAATTGTATAATCTGTCGATAGAAAGGCCTACATAAATGAATAAAAAACATTTATATATACTTTTTGAGATTGTCACTTGGTGCAATGTGACCAGTTCAGAGATACACAATGTTCAAAGTGTAAACTTAAACTAAAAGCATTTGATAAAAAAATAATAATAGCTTTTACTTTATGGAACAATATAGATGATATATTCTTAATTATTTCCTTGTACTAGCATTCACTTATCTTGTAAATTGCCTATCAAGTTAGATATTCCAAGGTATCCTATTAATGATGTTTCATATCTAACAGAATAACAAAGTCCAGGCAAAACTACTGATAATGGCATTTAAGTAGCAACATATATATGGCAAAAGCAAACTCAGAGCTGTAGAGGGTAGAAAATGGCACTCTGGAATCTTTTTGCTGTGATTCTAGCATTTGAAATTCTAGGACCAGCTAAATGTTCTATGGTTAAACTTAATAATGGGGGATACGAAGATATTGTCATTGCAATTAATCCTGGAGTTCCAGAAGATCCCAAAATTATTGAAAACATTCAGGTAAGGATGAAATTAAATAGAATTATGACACACTGCATTACATAGCCATGCAATTTAGGTAAATTGTTCTTGTTTTACCAAAGCATTAATATAACAGACTAATACTGAAATACTACAATGACCACTGTATAAGGAAAGCAAAAACACTCAATATTAGCATCTTTTGACTAAAAAATAATCTTTTTTTCCTCTTTTTAATCATGGTACAGTGGAATGAGAATACATCCATAAATTTATATCAATGGCAGATCACTTATTAACATAAATGATTTACTAGAAGGTAAAGGTTTAAAAATATATATATATATTTTGCATACAGACTTCACTATTGAGGTATTTTAATGTGTTTTCTATTAAAAGAAAACAGAAAAACAAACGACTTCATGTACTAGAGCTGAGCTAAAATTGAATGCATTGCTAACATGTCAATAAGCACATACATGTGGTGAATTAACAAACATCTATCTAATGATTAGTTATCCCATATTTAATCTCCTAATGATGAGATTCAGGCTAAAATAGTTATGCTATGATTCTTCCTGAGTTAGAGATATATTTTCCATTTGGATATGAATTTGTGGATTGCAAATTCAATAATTTAGTGTATCAATCTGTTTGCAAGTCCAAATAATAAGTAACAAAAACAAGACATGAAGTAATAACTCAATTATTTGAATTTAGTATTAATTTACTTATCATGCAGTGGTTAGTAGAGTTCATAACTTATTTCCATTTACAACTATATTAGCATGTTGGCTGAGCTCACTTTCAAAATACATTGTGATTTATTTAAAGGTAATCCTGTTTCTATTGGGGCTGATGTGTACTATGGTCATTGCTGCCGCCCAGGAGTGATGGGAGTTTGAGCACAGGACTTGTTTTTTTGTATTTGTGATCCTGTCTCTATAGGCTGCCTTCAAGCTATAATCTAACTATTCTTAAACCAGATTTTGCACTTTACTTGCATGATCCTCCCGTACATTCTTTTGTGAATATAATTGCCTCCCACAAATTCCATAACACCCTCCCTCAAATTCCGGTATCTAGTACCTATCACTGCACTTCACAATAAACCAACCCATTATTTTGACAACAAGTCGGTTAGTCCGGCATACAATAATTTTTTAGTTGATTGTGGCAAACAGTACAAGATAAAATCTTAGAATGTTGTCCTTTGCAATATACTGAGTAAAACATTTCATAAAAAATATGCAGATGTTAGTGACATTTATTGAGAATGCATTATTACTGCCAGGGTTATTTACTAATTTGAGAATTGTCAGGAATTAAAACTGAATTCAAAGTGAATTTCTAATTTAATTGAAAGCATTCTCCAAGCCATCGGTGCTTTCAGTTTGGTTATTTAGTCCTAAATTTGAAATTCACTTTGATTTCACTCTGAGGTTTCGACACATGTCACTTTAGTGAATAAGCCTACATGTGTCATCCCAATACTGATATATTGTCTTCCTGTGTTTGTTTTCTGAAATTCAATTACAGAACATGCTGAAGGAAGCTACAACCTACTTATTTCAAGCTACAAAAAAAAGGCTCTTCATACGGAATGTGAAAATTTTAATTCCTTTGACATGGTCTTCCGATCCTAACTACATAAAACCTAAAACAGAGACATACGATAAGGTAGTATTTGCTAGAATATGTATTACTTCAGTAGCATGATGTGAAATAAACTAATGTAGTAAATTAAATATGTATACATGCTATATATGCCTGTCATTTACTTTCATTCTTTCTTTCTTTCTTTCTTCTTTCTTCATAATATACTTCTATTATTGGTTCTCATATGCAGACAAGAGCACAATTATGGAATATATGGGAAGAGGCAAAAACATGGACACCATTAACACTGAAGTAAATCAGCTTCACAAGCAAAATTGTCAATTCCACAAAATCACTGTAACTGTCAAAATGGGGTAATAATAAGCAGAACGAAACCAGAGGTTAAAACGATTAAATCACCCTTCTCTTTTAGAGTGTACAAATTTGCCTTTCATAAATGGAAAGGAGGGACAAGGGAGTTAATCATTTATCATGACTTTTCCCACATTCCAGTGTACTCAGTACTTCTGGACTATTAAAATCATTGACAGTGGCCCTGTCATTTTAAACTTGCAATGTAGAAACTCAGAAATTGAGCTATCCTGGTAAATAACATCAAAGTCAAAAAGAAAATGAGGGGTAGCCACTAAAGTCTACTGTTACATGTTGGTAAAGAAAAAAAATTTAACTTTTATTTAAGATAAAATTAAAAATGCTTAAAACTCATAATACATTGTGGTTAGTCTCATTATCACAAATAATTATTCTATCTTATTATAATAAGTTATCTGCATTTTTTTACTTCATTGAGTAAATGGGCATTTTAAACTAAATTTACAAATAGTCTACAACACAAGATCCAAAGGAAAAAAGTTACGTATATCATAATACATATAGCCTAAAGGTGGCAGTCTGGAGCCACTATTTTCTATTTGTCTGCCAGAAGAAATCTACAAAACAGAGAGTAATCTTTAAATATTCCACAGGGTGGTGCCCAATTCCTTTTATTCCCCAATATCACTCTCGGAGTCTCCCTGACTCACTAGTCTCCTGTACTGACGCAACACTAAATCTAACCGGAAAGCCCTGTGTCTGAAAACACCACCACCATAGTGGCATGTAACCCTGCAATGCAAACATTTAAGTTTTGTAGAAATGATAATGTTTACATTGCTGTTTACACCTATCCCAGACAGCCACCGGAGGCACTTCTGCTGCACTAACTGAGTAAAGCTTGGTCAAGTGAGGCTGCAGCTTGTAGAAAAGCATTGCATTCAATGGTTTCCTATGAGAAGTATTTCGATGAGCTTGTGGCGGAAAATTGGATTGGCCATCAGCTCAAATGCTGGATGACTTTGCGGAAGGCAGAGCAGCTGGCAGCTCCGAGAAAATCTTGGCATTGCAGTAAAGGTAAGTAAAAATTGGAAATGGCGAAGATCAGAAACAAAGATGCAAAAAGGGCACTATAGCGTAATGAATACATGTTCCTTAAATGTGAATATATCAGTGAATTGTATGTCTCCATGAAATTCTCTGATGCAAAAATGTTACAAGAATGTTCTAGAGAGAGCTGTTGCACCTTTTTCATGCAGTATAAGACTGGGCCTTGCACATGCCTTGCCATGCTCAAACCTTTTTTTTTCCATTTGTGAAAATGAGAAGCAATTGGCTGTTCGAATCATAATTTCTCTTCCCTTGTTTTTGGTTTGTTGTTGTTGTTGTTTTCTTTAATCTGTTTTAGTCTATGTTCCTTGACCTGAAAAAAAAAAGTTTTATTAAAGTGACAAACATATTTACATTTATTATACCTTATTATTCTTTTTGCTTTTGATTTCTTTTTACATTTTTTATTATAAAATAATATAAAATTCAAATATTATTTGAAACTGATATACATAAATAAATCTTTAGTTAAAAGAGCTGCTTTGAAGGTGTAGTTCAAAGTGACCATCCAGCATTATTATGTATTTCTTTAATCCTGCTAAATTATTATTATGATATTTATAGAGCGCCGTCAAATTCTGCAGCTCTTTACAATGGGTGGACGAACAGACATGTAGTTGTAACCAGACAAGTTGGACACACAGTAACAGAGGGGTCGAGGGCCCTGCTCAATGAGCTTACATGCTAGAGGGAGTGGGGTAAAATGACACAAAAAGGTAAGGATAGTATTAGACTAGTGACAGTTGCAGAAGAGGAATCAGTCAGGAGCTATTAGCAGTTTAATTGATACGCATTTATGAAGAAGTGGGTTTTTAACGATTTTTTGAAGGAATGGAGGCTGGGTGAGCATCTAACGGAGGAGGGAAGCGAGTTCCACAGGAACGGTGCAGCCCTCGAGAAATCTTGAAGGCGAGCATCAGAGGTGGGAGTACGGACAGAAAATAGACGTAAGTCTTCAGCAGATCGTAAGGGCCTAGACGGGACATACTTGTATATAGGGGAGGATAGATAGGTGGGAGCAACATTATGTAGAGATTTGAAAGCAAGAACCAGAATTTTGAATTGAGCTCTATATTTTATAGGAAGCCAATGTAGGGACTGACAGAAAGGTGAGGCATGGGAGGTACGGGCGGACAGGAAGATGAGCCTCGCCGCCGCATTCAAATGAAGCACCACTAATATATACCTTATCTATAGGTTTATAACACAAATGCTAACAAAGTAATCAGCATTTATGGCCTGTGCCAATAAAGATAAGAAAATTATAATGCAGTAGTAGATATGCTCTGTAGTGGGAAAAAAAAACGAGCAAATTTTAAAATAAAAACTCTTTCCATTGCATACTTGAATAAACGAGGACAATGCTTCTAGAAACTGCACAACTTGTTATTTCTCAAATTTTCTTTTTTTCCAGCCTTTTTCGCTCTCAATATCCTTTCCTCATTTGATGTATTCCTCTGTAGGAATCAATTTAAGTGTACTTTTTTTTACTTTGTATATCAGCAGCCTTAGCAAAAAAAACTAGAGATACCACCCACTTCCTGCACAAATGCTAAAGAGTGAAAGAAAAATTATTATAATAAAATGTTACGGTTTAGTGTACTGGGTTGAAAAGTAGGTAGTTATGCACAAAATAAAGTATTATCTAAAGTTGGCAAATTTTAATAGGTAATACAAACTTAAAAATAGGTTGGGATCATGAAATACTAGACATTTCTATCCCTTTAAAATAGCCCTCTAGTAAATTGCCTAACCTTTATCTTTGAATACATTATACTGCCTTTCCCCAACCCTACCATTCAGGTAAGTAATAAAAGGATACTATAGTCACCGCACTAACTACAGCTTAATGTACTTTTTCTAATGAGTATGGGCTTTCACTGCAGGCCTTTTAATGAAAACCATGCATTTTCAGAGAAATATGCAATGTTTACATTACAGCCTAGAAACACCTCTAGTTGCCACTCCTCAGACCGCCACTAAATGTGTTTCCTGGGAGAGCATTGATGCATGGACACGCTAAACTTTCCTCATTGAGATGCATTGATTCTATGAGGAGATGCTAATTTGCCAGGACAGTATTTGGTTTCACTCCCACCCCGCCTCCTTGACTGAGATTATCAGAATTGACAATCTCAGACAATTCAATGCTTTCCTAAAGGAAAGCATTGTCATTGGCTGAGATTATCAATTCCCCTTTAATGTTTTGTAATATGTATGTTTCTTTGTTGGTGTTAAGCATGTTTTAGTTAGCATGTCCTTCGTTATTTAAAAACAATATTTCCTAACCTAACAAGTCAGTTCTAAAGTGTGTTATAACACAAAATTAATTTGTATGGTTTAGCATATGCAGACTTTTATTAATATTTCTCAAAAAGATAGACAATTTTGAGATTTACTTTTTAAAGCTAACTTAAGGTTTATCCTTATATCCTTCATTAGGCAGATGTGATCATTACCATACCGCACCTAAAATATGGAGATGATCCATACACCTTGCAATATGGTCGCTGTGGAGAGGCTGGCAAATATATTCATTTTACACCAAACTTTATGGTGGATGACAAGTTATTATCAGCTTATGGCTCCAGAGGTAAATATATTTTATAAACATAGAGAATATAGAGAAAAATAGAGACAATGATGCTGGTTTAGATCGGTGGTTTCCACCAGAGGTTCAAGTTTTTTCTGAATCCTAAACTGTTGGTGCTCTCTGAGGACTGGGTAGGGAATCAATAATCTAGATATCACACAATAGAAAATATATAACTAATTTTGTGGTTGTCTTGGCAGTATAAGAATATATACTGTATTGACTGTTTTTGACTCGCTGTTGTTACAGTATTGATTTACAACACAGTTTCTTCAAAATTTGACAGTTCTTTCTGATTCTGAGAGTGGTCAGTTGATGTTCTCAGCCAATGAATTTTCGACAGACACACTATTTGATGCACCCAGATCTTAGGTCCCATAAATACCTACTGCAGATATGTGTACAGTTTTCACTTTTTGTTAAAAAAAGAGAATGTGAATATGCATGGTCAATTCATAAAACTGCCTCAATTATTGAATAAAGATCAAAAAAAGTTAAAGGTTTATAAAAGGTAAAACAATTATTTGATCTAAACGTTTTTATTTTATTTTTTTATTTTTTGAATAATACATATTTAAAAACACATGTTTAAAGCTGATCTGTCAATTTTGTTTATTTCACCTTGACCCCCTTGCAGCCACTGCCATGTTCATGATACAGGTCCTCTTCTGCTTGACAAGCTTCTTCTTTTGTAAACTTTTGTCAACCTCAGACTTATCCATAAGATAAAGTATTTCCTAGTCTATGGATTCTATTGGAATTTCTAGTGAGCTTTCAACACAGTCCTAATCAGTATTTAATAAAGATTATATCTTAATGAAATAGTAAAAGGTGACAGATCCACTTTAACCACGATAGAACTTCCCATAAAACAGTAGCATAAATGTAACATATGATTACTGTACTCTTGTCTTAATAGGGAGAGTTTTTGTCCATGAATGGGCGCACTTTCGATGGGGAGTTTTTGATGAATACGACCAGGACAATCCATTTTATATAACTGGCACTAATGTAGAAGCAACAAGGTAGTGACTTTTTCTATTTACATTATTTTTAACATACTAGTTATTGTTTTATAAAAAGTACAGTTATAATGAGGAAAAAAAAACTTAACAAATGAATTGAAATTTGTGTTGATTACAAATTGTAGTCATATAGTCTAGTTAGAACTTGAGTTTCATTGGTATACCAGGTTGCAAGTGCATCTCTGTCTTGTAACATAGTAAACTAAATTAAGTACTTGCAAAGTAAGTCAGCTAAAGAATTGTCTTCTTTTAGGAGGTCTATACTTTTGAGTAGCAATGACTGGTATAGATACACAACATGAAAATGATAATAAAGCTGTGTTCAGGTACACCATGGCTGGTGTATGATATTAAGTTATGCAATAAAGTGTAACTAAAGATGCATATATTTTTAAATATTTAAAACCAACCAGATAACCTATGCAAATCTATTTACCAGGTGTTCACTTGATATCACTGGGTCAAACACAAATCAAGACACTGTTCTAAATTGTAACTTTGATGGTACCACAGGACTTTATGAGGAAGGTTGTGTGTTTGTGCCAAATAGAGATCAATTTGCCATGGAATCTATAATGTATATGCAATCACTATCCTCTGTAAGTATTACCACATTTATGTATCTTTTATCTTAATGTACCTTTCTAACAGTTACTGCCCGATTACAGTATCACAGATTAGGGATGTCTTTATAACAGGTAGCTCAGTAAGTTATGGGGCCTCCTATAAATATTTGGAAGTCTTTGGAAGAAATAGTTAATTCAAGGTGTAGTTAATATATATATATATATATACATATATATATATATATATTAGTGTTTCGTGCTATAACTGCTAAACCATTGCATTTATAGGTTTTATCTATCATTGTTATTTATTATTTCTTCATATATTATAGGTAACAGAATTCTGTGATGCAAGTAACCATAATATTGAAGCCCCATCACTTCAGAACAGAATATGTAATTCTCGCAGCACTTGGGATGTCATCAGCAACTCTGCTGACATAAAATCTACTGTTCCAGGGACCATCACCAACATTCCAGAACCTACATTCACTCTTCTGCAATACAAGGAGAGAGTGGTCACCTTAGTCCTTGATGTTTCAGGAAGCATGGCTCAGGTGCAGAAAAAAAGTTTTTTTTTTAAATGCAGACAGCTTTTGTAGACTAGTACATGCACTTTTTACATGTGATTACTTTTTTTACATGCCTTGGATGGAGGTTCTGTTTCTTAAAAATAAAGTAAACAATGATACAAAAAATAATAATATTAGTTTAAAAGATATTGTGATTAAAATGCACGAGTAGCTGCCGTGGCTTCTAGAAAAATAGGTTAGTATCACCAACCTAAATTGGGAATAAGATTGACAAATCCACCACATTTTACAAGATACATGTAACACACTTTTTCATTTCTCGTACAGTTTTGTGAATGGGAAGCTGGTGATAGACTGCAAACTCCAGCTGTTGCTATATAAATTGCAACCTGCTGGTGCCACACAGTCCGAAGCTTCCTCCTTAACGCATTAGACCATTCCTGGAAACCAGGAGGATGAGCATATGGGTGTTGTCTTTTTAACTTTAGGGATTAAACCATTTCTAAGAAGGTTTACCCTTTAAGGTAAGACAGCACCCAGGACCTCCAGGCACCTTAGTTAAAATAAAATCATTATTGAGATAAAGTTGTTATGGTGGTTGGAGTAGAGCAGATTAAGACAAGCAAGACTTTTAATACTGCCAATCATGTGTTTTGTTCACGCAGTTTTTGACAATCAAATTATTTACAAATCTCTTTGAAATGGCATTCATTTTTGATTATTTACATTAAGTGCACACAAAGTACACACAAATATGGAAAGGCTTTCACTGGAATGCAGTCAGTAAAGCCATGTGTGACAGAATCTGTGTTATTCACTAAAGTGAGAACTTAAAGTGAATTCAATGTGAATTTCAAAATTTAGGCCAAAACAACCGATTAGGAAACTTCTCTCTAAATAGTCAATTAGCTAATAAGTTAATAATGTCAGTTTTGTTATATTGGCCATAAATGTGAGATTTAGTTTGAATTCACTTTGAATTCCTGGTAATTCCTACTTTAATGAATAGTCTTGTTTGTGTATTACTTGCTTTTTGATATTCAACTTGTTCCTAGGTTTTTCAATACAAAGTGGATGGTTCCAAAATGTGTTTAATAATATATATTATTTACTAAAGAGTGAACTGTTCACAAAGTGTAGGCTGCAATATTTGAATTGAAAAAAAAAATCTTCAAGTCAGCTCTGTTTTTAGTACTGTTTTTTTGACACATCTAAGGAGGTGCCAAGGTATGTTGAAGTGGTTATAGTGTTTGGAGTGTTCCTTTAATGAACTAGCATTGTTAAGTCTTGATAGTTTTCTGTCAGTTAAAATTCTCTTACATTGTTTTAAATTGCAGAATGATCGTATAGGTCGTCTGTACCAGGCAGCAGAAGTATTTATCATCCAGATCATTGAATATGACTCCTTTGTTGGAATTGTCCAGTTTTCTAGTTCAGCATCTGTTACATCCCAATTAGTACAAATATACAATGATGCACAGCGTACAAAGCTGAAAGCTCTTCTGCCTAAAAGTGCAAGTGGTGGAACACACATTTGTTCCGGAATTCTGTCAGGCATTGAGGTAAGTCCTCAATGTTGTTTTCCTTTTACAGCTATATATTTATACTTAAGTCAAATTTTTTTATTTTTTTAAGAAGTAGTTTGTGAAATTTAGGATTAATGTGCAAACATTTTTAGTTACCTTTGGATAATTCATATGGAAAACATGCCATGGTCTAAAATTGTAAGCATTTGATTTGCTCCAGCATCTGTGTTTTTGTTTTTTGTTTTTTTGTAATATGTTCTAGAACAGAAATGTAAAAAAAAATGTTCTTATATAGAATCTTCTCACAAGCAAACTTATGTGAGCACACACAGCATCGTACATAGTAGTAATGCTAAGGCATAACACTTACAGGGTTTTTCACTGTAACAAAGCTCACTACTCAGGTCTGAGTATCTCTTTTAATATCCTTCCTTTTCCAACAGGACACCATCAGTGATAATAACAGCTGATATAGCGCACCTAAACGTCAGCCAAAACTTTATGAAGGTTTTACACAAAGCCCCAGCATGATGTCCTTAACAGAACAATGGTAACCCCTCCCAGGTAGCTCTGTGTCTGGGAGTAAATTAGATCAAGCACCACTAACTCAATTAAAACCCAGGCACAGATTTGCTTAATACAATTATCCATCAAACATACTGCACCACACCTGTTAATTCAATTAACTACCAGGCACACAGCTTAGTACAATTATTCCCCAAAACATTTGAAAAACCTCCAAAAACATAGGTAAAATAGTGATACTCTCCACACATGGAGTTCCCCTTATAGCTCATCCCTGTCATCAGATCTAGAGGAGGGTTATTTAGGCCAAGTTCTCATCCTGCTCAGTGCCCTGTCGTGGTTTCCCTTGAGTGCGTTATTGATTTTGGTTATTCTGGTTATTTGACTTTGGCATTGTTTTTGACTTCCCTGTTTTCTGGCATCCCTGACTCCTGGCTTTTCCTTATCGTTGTGTCTCTTTCTGTATCCCTTGACCTCGGCTATTCCTGACTATTCTTTGGTACGTTAGTCCGTTCATTCTAAGGTCCATATACGTTACCTATCAGTCCTCTGTGTTACACAATTCTACGTGCTGGATCATTCTGTAATCCTGACAATCCCCAAGTGCCCAATCTAGTGAAATAGCGATGTAATTGATGGTATGGAGTCTGAGTTTTTAGTGGGTCATTTTCACAGTTTCAATCTGCTTGCCAGTTAAATAGCGTTTCCAGGTTTGTTCCGGTAAGGTGCATGAAAGCCTTCTGGTCGTGGCAGGCTAGTTTGGATATCCCAGTCACCTTGTGCCTACAATAGTCACAGGGTGACTTAGATATAATAGGGGACAGAGAAGCATCAAAAAGGAAGTTTTCCATGAAGTTACCATGGCCACCCTCCCAAACTCAAACATACCAACATATGTTCACCTTTCCAGGGGATTGCCCTAATCATCCCACATTAACCCCTTAAGGACTGGACTGTTTTTGCGATGTTGTACATTTGCGACCAGGAATATTTTTACACTTTTGTGGTGTTTGTGTTTGGCTGTAATTTTCGCTTTCTCATTTACTGTTCCCATACAAATTATATATTGTTTTTTTCAGGACAAAATGGGCTTTCTTTACATACCATTATTTATATAATCTCATGTATTTTAATTTAAAAAAAATACAAAAATCTGATGAAAAATTGAAAAAAATACATGTTTTTTGACTTTTACTTGAAAAATCTTTTACTCATCTACAAAAGCGAATGAAAAAAACTGCTAAATAGATTCAAAATTTTGTCCTGAGTTTAAAAATACCTAGTGTTTACGTGCTTTTTTGCTTTTTTTTGCATGTTATAGGGCTATAGGTACAAGTAGGATATTGCGGTTTAAAAACATACATTTTTAAAATTTATCAATAGTGACATTGTAACACTATTATCTGTCATAAATCTCTGAATAACACCCCACATGTACATATTTTTTTTAAAGTAGACAACCCAGGGTATTCAATATGGGGTATGTCCAGTCTTTTTTAGTAGCCACTTAGTCGAAAACACTGGCCAAAGTAAGCATTCATATTTGTTTGTGTGTGAAAAAAGTAAAAAAACTAAATTGAACGCTAATTTTGGCCAGTGTTTGTGACCAAGTGGTTACTAAAAAAGACTGGACATACCCCATTTGCAATACCTTGGGTTGTCTTCTTTTGCAAATGGTATGCCATCATGGGGTAATTCTCATTCCTGGGCTACCATACGCTCTCAAAGGCAACGTAACCAACCTGGCCATTTTCAATGTAAAAATATTTGACCCATATATTTGACCTTGTAACTTTCAAAAATGCTATAAAACCTGTACATGGGGGGTACTGTTTTACTCAGGAGACATCGCTGAACACAAATATTAGTGTTTAAAAACTGGAAAACGTATCACAACAATTATATCATCAGTAAAAGTGCTGTTTGTGTGTGAAAAATGCAAAAAAAGTCACTTTCACTGACAATATCATCGCTGTGATATGTTTTACTGTTTTAAATCACTAATATTTGTGTTCAGCGAAGTCTCCCGAGTAAAACAGTACCCCCCATGTACAGGTTTTAGGGTGTCGTAGAACGTTACAGGGTAAAATACAGTGCTAGCAAATTAAATTCTCTGGAATTTCGGCCTGGGTTGGCAGGCAGGTCCCTCAAATTGCAATCAATAAAATTACTGAATTATGTAAAAATATTACATAAATACGCACGTAGAATTTAAATATATATGCATATTTATATATTTGAAGTCTACGTGTATATTTATATAATTATTTATGTAATTTTGTATATGGACGTATGTATATTTCTTATTATTTTTATTTATTTTTATATACATAGATATATATACAAATTCATTCTAAGTGTATTTTGATATAAATATATATATATTAATTTTAAAATACAGTTAGAATAAAATTTCATATAGATATATAATTTTTTTTAAATTTTTATTATTATTTAAAAAATTTATTTAATTTAAATTACTTATTATTTATATTTTATAATAATATATATATACAATATATATATAGTTATTATATATATTATATATATATACGTGTGTAATTTAATTATAATGTATTTTTATATTAATATAAGTACATATTAATATAAAAATACACTTAGTATGACATTATTATATATATGATATATAGACATATATTATATAGATATAATATATGTCTATATATCATATTTATACATATATAATTATTATTATTTTTTTTATTACCATTAACTTTAATTTTTTTTTTGATTTTACAGTTGCAGGGGACTGCCTGTCAGTACAGACAGTCCCCCTGCAGGCAGACACATGGACACCTATTGTGACCATGTGATCACTGTGTTAAGCAATCACATGGCCAGGGGTCCTAATTCAGTGTGGGGAGACTGTCTGGGCTGCGGGCAGTCTCCCCACAACCGGAGCCACGCTGATCGCCGCCGGGGGAACGACGGCGATCAGGTAAGTAGCCCCAGACCGTTTGGACGGTTCAGGACCGTCATCGGTCGGCAAGGCAAAAATGCCGATGACGGTCCTGAACCGTCCTCGGTCCTTAAGGGGTTAACACAGTAACCCTGGAATACAATGTTCTGGCCCAGGGAAGTATCTTTGAATTTGCCATTAAATTTAAAATTTACTTTAGTGAATAACCCTGCTAGTCAGTAGAAGAAAAGGAAATTAATATTTATTTAATAGTGCATAATAATTTATATTAAACAACAAAACTTCACACTAATCAGATAGCTATCTCTGAAAATTCTACTGTGTAGAAAATAAGTTGTGGTTAGATGGACTGATTGTGCTATACATACACGATGCCTTAAAGGAAACCCTTAATATGTAAACTAGTTTTTATTCATTAAAGGGAAAACAGTTTTATTTAAAAGCTTTAGCTTGGAATGACACACTTGTCTCACTCTGCAGGCTGAAAAAAATAACCATATTTACCTGCTTCTTCTTTCTTATGATTTTCACACGTACTCTAGAGGGACATTGATATAACTTATCAGTGTTCTAGCCCTATGAATGCTGGAAAAGTGCATTGGGCATGCCTGACAGATTTACACATGTGCAAAGGATCTCGTCACCTTGAAACATCCTGACAGGGGGAGAAGAGAGGGAGTCTGGTCAGTGTGATTCATGCCAAGCAGGCTCCTGTGTTAGGTTTTTCTCTATTGCTCCTATAAAATGATGCCCTGTTTCTTTTATTAGTGAACTGGTCTGAAACTGAGATGGGCGAGTAAGTTACAGAACACCCCTAGCTGAAAGCCGTGCCTAATAACGCAATCTGACCAAGTTTATAGTACGTTTATAAAGGCTTACAAACTTTTCTATGTTTTTCTTGCTTTATTTTGGTTGGTATATTGTTTAAAAGTGCTTGCTTGCTGGTTTAAATAAAAACATTGTCAAGCTATTCATTTGCTGGATGGCTGTGGAATTATTTATTAATGTAATTGCTTTTTATCACACACTTACTTTGGATACACAATGGATTTGATTCAGATATCTGTGATTTATTTATTACTCAAGCTATCGTCAAAGTACCACATCCTTCTTCAACGTCAAACATTTACAGATGATTGAGTGCATTGATTGAGGTTTTTTTAATAGCTGCTAAATAAACCATGCAATCTTTACCAATGCAGTTGTAGTAAAACATAAATGTTAAAATGTCTTTGTGATTTACATTTTTTTATACCTGATGTAGTTACAATATGTTTTCCTTGGTTGGTATTTTATTTCTCACAATCTTTAGGTAAACAAAAAGCTTGATGGGTCTTCATATGGTACTGAAATTATATTGCTGTCCGATGGAGAAGACAATTATGATACAAAACTTTGTTTTCCAAATATAATGAGCAGTGGGGTAATCATTCATACAATAGCTCTAGGGCCAAATGCAGCCAAGGAACTTGAAGACATTGCACACATGACTGGTAAGATTGTTATTTTGTGATGGAGATTTGATATTTAATATCCTTGCTGATCAATCATGCTGAGTTACACCTAATTATTTTTTAGGAGGATTAACTTTTTCAGCATCAGATAAAGTGGACGCAAATGCACTGATTGATGCTTTCAGTGGAATTTCTGCAGGAAATGGAGATATTACAAACGAGGCTATTCAGGTATATTAGTATATATAAATTATTATCAATGGTATGAACATTTGCATTTTATAATGTTCCAAGAAAAGGATACTATTAAAACTGAAATCAATTGGCTTAGATTAAAGATCTAGTTCTTGAATAGAACATTAGCTTAAAAATAGAGTACCGACAGTAGTTGTAAATTGAACATTTTTAAATTGGACAACAGTCATAACTGGAGTGCCTCAGTGTGCTTTTTGGGTTAACTTCTCCTTAATCTGTTTATAAATTATCTTGAAGTGGGCATTGAAAGTCACGTGTCTGTGTTTTCAAATGACATACCACAAGGTAAGATAATAGAGTCTGAACATAATATAACTTCTTTACAGAGGAACTTGGATAAATTGGGGCACTTGGAAGGCAAGTGGTAGATGAGATTGAATACAGATAAATACATTCATGCATTTAGAAATAAGGAGCAAACAATCCACTTATACATTAAATGAGCTTGAATTGTGAATACCATCACATGAAAACAACCTTGAAACAGTGATAGATAAACTAGACAACAGTGCACAATGCCAGTCTGCTATTACAAAGCCTAGTAAAGCATAAAAGGGGTATTGATTCTTGTAATCAAAATATAATTTTGCCCCATTATAAATAAATGGTAATACTACACCTAGAATATGCAGTGCAAATTGAGGGACAAGTTTTAAAGAAGAATATTTTAAAAGTAGACAAAATTACATAAGGGGTGGGACACCAATTATGCAGGAAGGCTAGAGAAACTGCTTTTTTTCTTTGAAAAAAAAGAATCTTAGAAAGGATATACTTGCACTATAGATACATATACAGGGTCAGTACAAACCACTATGGGCTAACTTGTTAATTAGCAGTAATATACAATAGACACAGGGTCACCCAATAAGAGTGGGAAAAATAAATTTTCACATACAGCAGATGGAAGGCTTCTTTACAGTAAGAACAATAAAGATGTGGAGGCTGTTTGATTCGATTCTATACACATTTTTAATCAATGTTTGAATGGTTTTTTTTAAAACAAAAACAGTTTCTGCAAGGTTATAACAGTTAACATATGTGGTAACAGCTTGTTGCTTATATTGGGATTGTTGCCTTCTTTTGATTAAAAGCAGTAATACATGATTGTAACTAAATGATTACTCCATGTTGGTTGTACTCATTAGGTAGAATGTAACTGCACATAGCCCAGCTGCACAAGCCAGTGCCGGACTGGGGATACAAAGCAGCCCTGGAAAAAAAAATTGTGCCAGCCCCATAAGTCACTGCACCATAAGTCACTGCGTGTAATATGTAAGGCTATGTCTTGCCAGGACAGATGATTGAGTAATATATATATATATATGTATA